CCTTAATCCATGTGCCAGCCACTCTGGAAGGGACTCCACATGTATTATCTTTCTTGCCACTTCCTATTAATGATAAAACTGAGGCTTAGAGTGGCTAGAGGACTTGCTCAAACTCACCAAAGAATGAGCGAGGAGTGAAGCTTTGAATCCAGGTGAGCTTGTGCCTTTCAGTAGGTGCACTGAGCTTATGCTAGAAGGGATTCAAACAAGGAAACTTGCAGGAGCCTCATTGGGAATCCTTCTTTGTTTCTTGGGGCTTCTGTCCCCACAAAATCCCTTTCCTTCTCTCACACTCTATCTCCTATTTCCGAAAGTACATCCATAACTCATGCCCTAACTTGCTGACAGCCAACATTTTAAAAACACCCAGGATAGTCCCAAAATTAATTTTATAAACATATTTCTAGAAAAAAATTGAAAAATAATTTTTTGATCAAATTGATGATAGGCTTCTCAGTGACCCCCCCACATGATCGATACATTGTAACATTGTATCGAGGTTGCTTTTCTTCAATAGCTCATGGTTCTTCTTGTCCTGCTATTAACTTAAGTGATGAAGACAATGATAAAACACCGGGTGTAAAGTAATACTTGTTTATATTTATTTAATGTGCCCCTGTGCAGCATACTTGGGAGCTCCTGTTTTTCCTCCATTCTGCCGCATTATTTGGATCAATTGGCCAATCTTCTTTCCACTTAGCCTCAATAATCGTGACTATTTTACGACAGTAATAGAGGCATTTATTAATGACAAAGTTTAGTTCAAGTTAAAAGGGAAAAGGGCTGGCATGGAATTCAGATCGTAATTCTGAAAATGCCAACTGAACTATTAAAACGGAAGCAGGTTGATTTTGAAATTCTTTGGGTCTGTATTTGTAGTCACTATCCCGTGTCTATAACAGCAACTCTGATGTCGCTGAAACCAAGTAATATTTTGGCCTTGTAAACACATTCCCGTGTTAAGACAATGTGCTAAGTTTCCACTCTGGCGCTGCATAAATGTGGCAATGGCCATTTAATCTTAGCTGGCAGCGAAGCACAAGGGTGGAAATCAGGGATTGGGTCCACTCCAGCCTAGCAGACTTCTTTGGCTCGTGGCAGAAGAGAATTCTTAGAGGCTCCTTAGCTCCAAAGGTGGCTGTTTTGTCCCATCAAGAAGGCTGCACTCTCTCTGGGCCTCAGGATTTTACCAAAGGTTGGCTTGCAAAGCATGCTTTTTTATTTTCTTACTTTGGTGTTCAAGGGACACTGACCGCTAACGTAAGGAAACTTGATGACACATCAATCCTGTTTTCTGAACATCTATTTTCTCCCCCAAAGAAGTCCCTAGAATGGAAAGCTCAGCCTGCATATTCACATAAAATCCCCTGGTGACACGCCCCAGCTTCCCCAACACAGCTTTCAAAGCAGCTTTGCACTCATCAGCCTAGTTTCAGAAAATCGCGTGCTAGCTCCTGCCCCGCTGCGTGCCTGCCACCTGCCCAACCCCACAGGGCGCCCACAACACCAAAGACCTGAACTGACTCTAGGATTGCCTGCCTTTGTATGGATGCTTCTACAGACCTCTCTTTATACCTTTCCTCGTCCTGCTGTCCCCTCCTGCCTGGTACGGCTCAGAGCACTTTGCATGTTCCAGGTCCCTGCCTCACCCTGCCCTGCCTTGTGCCTGCATTTGCAGACAGAAGCCCCACTCCCTGCAAACCAGGTGACAGCAGAATGGTGCCTAAGGGAACTATCTTTTTCGGTTCCTAGCAAAAAAAAAAAAAAAAAAAGACACTCAAATATTTATCATTTTGCTGAAATGCATGAGTAGGGCTGCAGTTCATTAGCTGGTTATCACAACGTCTAGATGAGGTTGTGGAGTTTGCTTTCTGAACATTGGATTTGCCTACGAACTATAGTTACTTCTTCACACACACACACACACACACACACACAACCACCCTCACGCTGGCCCCTGCGAGGGTCTGGTGAGATGGTGTGCTGGAGCAGGCACACAGTCCTTCGGCACTGAGGTTGAGCTTTTGTCTGGGCAGACACACTGCCTCCAAGGTCATGTCCTTAGTCAGTATGGCTCAGTCAACTGTGCCTCCATGCCAAGCACTGGCCTGACGACTTCTCTTGTAATCTTTCCTTTCCCCTCAGCTGGCATCTCAGCCAGTGGAGATGCGCCGTCTTTAGGAATAGATGGGCAGATGCCACCAACTCTGCCTAATAGAAGTCAGACTCTGAAATGACCCCTTGACCCTAAGTCCTGAATACTTCCTTTTTGTCTTCTCCATAAACAGGACCTTAAATCGTTCCCTCTGCTCCCCAGATATGCAACCCTCCCTTCAAATCCCTGGAGCGTGTGACCTAACCATAGGTGTTTGGTCTCTCTTCCTATTAGTCTGTTTAATCCCGTCCAACCCGGTGCCTGGCACACTTCTGTGTTAGAAAGGGAAGGTGTCCCGTGCAGGCAGACTGCTGCCCCCAACAGGCATGAGAAGCTGCCATATGGAGGAACTGATGCTCCTCCCAGCTCCTCGGTCCACGCCGGGGCTGAACCCTGCCTGCACAGTGACTTCACAGGTAGCTCTCCAGATCTCTGAAATGCTCCCCGTCTTGATTTCCACAGAGTTAGCACAGTTGGACCTGTCTCGTTTTTGAGGTCCTTCTCAACACCTCTTTGCCAGCATCATTTCCTTCTCCACTTTTTCCTCTGCTCTCTCCCCTAACAATCTTCTTGGAAACCTCTGCATAGATAAAAAATCCCAAATCTATATCTCCACCCATAGACTAGAAAACTTCCCTCATTCTCTCCTGAGGTTACTTGTGGCAACCTCATGTATACACCAAAAACAAAACTCATTATTCCATCCAACCCTCTCACCCTCCACACTCCCCTTTTGGGCTTTGCTGCCCGGGATTGGTTCCCACCCAGTGCTGTCAACAACGCATTTGAAACCTTGCTTGCATTTGCCACTTCTATTTCACCAACTCCCATCCCAAGCCTTGGTTACTACAACAACCTCTAAAACAAACCAAACAGGTGAGCCGTTACTGTAAGCCAGGCACTACCCCTAAGTCCATTGTACACTACTTTTCCTCTTCAACAGAGCGTGTGTATGACTGCTACCAGAAAGGACTCCTTTACCAGGGCAGGCTTTTATCTGAATGCACACTGCTAGATGCACATTCCCTGATCACCTGCCACTGACTTGGCATTCTCCTGAGACTGGACAACCTGCTCAGACTCCCTTCTCAGTTCCTTCACTGACAGTGAGCTCTGCAGGTTGCTTGGATCTCAGTTTAACCTGCACCATTGAAGACTAATCACTCTCTTCACAGACATTGGCTCTGGAACCCTCACTGCCCTGCCCAGCCCAGCCTCCCAGCCCTCCCACCAGAGGTGATTCAGACACCACAGGTCCACACCAATGCTGTGGCATTTCAAGTCCAGAGTCTTTCAAAGTTTTGTCTCAACCTTCTCAACCTAGTTCTACGGCCCCTCGTGTCCTACATCCAGCAATAGCTACCATCGGCTCTCTCATTCTGCCTGTATGTTTAGCTTCCATTGTCTTCCTCGTGCCATTCTCACCTGGAAATGTCTTCAGAACAACCCCCATCTCTACTGGATTAATTTTAAAACCATCTCAACTTCTATGACTTCCATTCTTCCTTAACTATTCCGATCTTTGCCCTTCTCAGAGCTGTTGAATGTACGAAGGGTCTTCACACAGTTCCTGGAAAATGTGTGTTGCAAAAAACAAACAAACAAACAAACAAAAAACAATGCACAGATTTCAGAAATTCTTTGAACCAAAATAAACATCTTTTAATACCATTTTCTATGAATTTTGAGACATCCTTGGATAATTTGCCTCACATATACAATATAACTGCAGTTATATTGTAATGTATCCCTTTATGTATATAGTTGGGAGGGTATGCCACAGTGGTACTTTCCAGAACCAGCAGTTTCAAATCAAATTCTGGTATCACTTTTAGAAGACAGAACCGATTTGCAACTCTCTAAGTATCCATCTTGAAGAAAATTTCAGGTATTTGATTTCTACCTGTATTTCTTTATAATAAACTATCATTTAGGACTCATGTGTGTTATCCTTGTCTCCCCGACAAAACTGTAACTGTCTAGAGGGCGGGGGCCAGTTCTCTTGTTTATATCTCTAGTGGTTCTGATAATGCATCAAATAACCAATCCTCAGTAAATATTCCTTTTTTGCCTCACTGATAATTTTTGGTTTGTGGGCCTTGTGCTCAAATGTTGATTCTTATGTGTTTATAGGAAGCCAAAGACAACTGACTTCAGGAACAGCTGATTATGTCCATAGTTTTGCTCTCATAAAATAAGCAAGATTTTCCCACTTCTAAATGTAGCACTAAAACCTTTTGTGTCTGCAGCAAAGTTTGAATATTAGAGTTTGAGAGACACATTTGACAGGATTAACAATCTCAAACAATACCAAACAGATAAATAGCTATGGTGCAAACAGGTCCTCATTGAAAGTCTCACAGAGAATTAAAAAAAAAAAAAGTGTTCATAGTTCCTGCAGTATTTGCTTGGTCACCCTTCAGCTCAACACTGTGTTGCTGTGTCAACAGAACTGTTTGCTCTTCTGGCCTTATTTTCTTAAATTGTCTATTGTGCCCTAGTCAACATGTTGGCACCGCCTGGAAGCTAAAGTAAGCCTCTTATTTTCTGCTCCAAGTTGAATCCCATTCTCTACCACAAAGCTCAGAGCTCAAAGCACACAGCCTTGCAGGCATCATTGTGGCATTTTGTGACCACAGCTGTAGCCAGAGTAACATGAACCCTCTGTGCAGATTTAGGGGCATACTTGTGAAGGCTCAGTTATTTCAGTATGCAAAATCTGGGTGCAGCTAGACTGTGGGTTCAAGGTCATTACATAAAAAGATATAAAAATACTGAAAAGAGTGACTGAATAATTCATTTCTTCTAAACACTTATATAAACTAAGAATTTTTCTGTCCTGCAGTGACCAAAAATGAAGAAGTAAAAATAATTATGGTGAAACACTACAGAATAGGTTTAGATGAAAAATATGAAGTAACAAAAAAGTGGTCTTTGAACGATCTGCAGATGATTGATGGAAAAGAAGCAGATACTGTAAGTGTTATATTTTATAAGGGAGAATTGGGGTCAATATACTAGAGATATTTATGTTCAATATCCTATTTCATATATTCTTGGCATGTAGTAGGTGTTGAGATGACATTATATTGTTCTTAAGTGGTGTGGTTTAATCTGCTGAGGTGATCTACTGGCTTTTTTGTTCTGCTTTTATGATTGTGAGTTTTGAATTTTGCCTATTAAATTTAAAAGCATCCTTCCCAAGGGCCTCGTAATAGGTTAGATACAATCTACATGTCAGTCCAGAAATTTTAAATGCCATTTTTCCAAATACATGATGCGCCCCCCCCATTCTCTCTCACCAATCCAATCTCCTCCATGACAGAATTCCTTTCTTCATCTTCAAATTTTACTATCAACAAGCCCATTTCATCCACCAGAAGGATCATATAATTTGGAGATCTTATAATCTTAGAGTTAAAAGGGGAGAGAGGGAGTGGATACTTCAATCTCCCCTACTTGGCCCCTTAATGAGTGGTTCTCCCTGTCTGTCCTTAAACTCATCTGTTGATCAAGAATTTGATCCCCCACCCCTTGAACTTTATACATCCATAATGTCTTAGAATTGACACTGGAGGCTTATAATGGCTTATCCCATTCCTCGGTTTCCCATTGGGTAAAGTCCTACCCATGACTCTCACCCCTATCAACCAATTGCATTTTGAATGTAAATGTTTTATAGCCATAATCCTCAAACTCTAATTGTTGGATCACCCTATATCCTTTTCAGATGACTGAGTCTCCAAAGCCTAGGACCATGATTTTTTTATACTTTGTCATAGCCTTCTGTTACAGGTATTAGGCAGTTGATGAACATTTATGGTGTTACTGTTGAATGAATTAGAACTTAAGCTCATTTTTTTCTTGATACTAATAAATGCCCATTAGATTGGCCTTTAGTTCTAACCTATCAAATTTTCCAATGTCTTGATTTTTTATATCACTGTACTATGATATAGGTTTAATAAGCATAACAAATTTAGAACTTCATCCAAGCCAATAATAAAATTGATAAAGTTGGCAGAACCACATACATTCCTATAAGTAATTAATGGTTATGATTACTATCGCTACTAGTTCTATTACATGGTACCATCCTATACTTGCAAACTCTTAAGAGGTATCGGAACCCATGTAAGCATCGTCTACATTTAAGTTCACACGGTCATCACAAAAACCTGTGTGTTAGAGTCTATTATTCCTATCTTATAGATGAAAAAAATGAGACTTAAAGAGATTAACCAACTTGCCCAAGATCACATAGCTATTAAGTAATAGTAACAGACTTTGCCCACATGTGTTAATTTGCTGCCTTTGGTTTGATACTCTACAAATGCATATTCATTCATTCTTTTCTTGAGGATATGTGGTATAACAGGCCCTGCTAGGCTCTGAGAATACAGGAGAGGATTAGCCGTAAGCAATTAATTCTGCCTTGATTTAAAAGTTAGTCACCTGATTTGAATATCTAAACTTTGCCCTTTCCCAAAATCAATATATATGTTCTGCTATAATCTTGATTTATCTAGAAATTCTGTCTTTAAAGTTTGATGTGTTTGGTATAACTTATTGGGGAAAGAATGCTAAACTTCTTTGCTTTGTTTCCTAAGTACCCATTTTCTTCAGAATATATTCTACCTAAATACTCACATATAGGAAATGGTTAAACATATTATTGCATATGCATGTGATAGAATATCATGTAACCATTACAAAGCATGTGTCCAAAAGAATACTTAAGAACACAACTGTTAACTATTTAATAAGCTTTTTTCAATCAACTTAACATAATACTTTTCTGAATGCTATTTCAATTTTACCTATTTAGGTTACCATTATTGAAATCTGAATCTTACATTTTAATATAAAAATAAATTGAGGTGCGTGTATATGCATTGCAGAGAAGTCTTCAAAAAGTTCATGGGTAGTTTCTAAAATACAATATTGATTGTCTTTTTCCTCTGTTTGTTTCCTTTGCTGTGTAGAAACTTCTTAGTTTGATAAAATTTCATTTGCATATTTTTTCTCTTATTGCCTGTGCTTTGGAATCTCAGCTAAAAAAATGTTGTCTATGCCAATGTCCTGGAGTGTTTCCCCTATGTTTTCCACTAGTGCTTTTATATTTTCCCATCTTACATGTACATGTTTGATCCATTTTGAGTTGATTTTTATATGTTAATGGAAAATACATATTATGAAAAAGGTATGCATGGATTTCAAATTTTTTGCACCAAAATAAACTTAATTCCATTTTTCCACAATCTACTTGAAGTACTCATATATATATAAAACAATCCAGTTCTCTAATTATCTTGTATGATGGGATTGTAAGTTTTTTAATTATTATGTTTTTCTTTATACTTTTCTGTATTTGCCAAATTTCAGAAATCCATGTAGAGTAAACTAATCTTAGGTTGCAGGAATTAACCATCCCCACCTAATTTTTGACCCATTTTTCCTTCCTTTTTGTTTTTTCTCGAGTTCTCAAATACTGCTGATGTCACATTTGTTTTCTATAAGTTTGGTCAATGCCAAGGAAGTATTGCCTTGGGCAGTGCCTTAGACGCAATGGGACTGCTACTCTGTGTGCTTCTTCTCCTTTGTTGGTCTTTAATTTCATCCGAATGTTGCTGATCCCTCCCTTTTCAACTTGATCATTATCTTCCATAGTGAACAAGATACAAAAATGGATTATTGCTGTTTTCCTCATCACATTACGATGTAAAATACTAAAATTTCAGGAGAAAAATATTAATATCCAAAGAGTATTCCTTTTAAAGATTTATTTTCCATGGATGAAGGAGAAATATCCTAGCTGTTCTGGGAATGTCAGCCTCTCCTCTCTTTTAGAATCGAATGCTCAGGAGTCAGAATTTATTATATTTTTATCAATCACAATGATATGGCTTTCAGCATAGAGTCATTTCATGCCAGTAAGTTGTCAACTTTTAAAATGGAATGGAATTGAAATTGATGTCAATTTATAAGACAGAAATCAAAACGCCTGGGGATCTGGAGACTGTCTGGTGCAGCAGGAGAAAGGATGACAAGGCAAAAAATGGCCCTGGGCTGATTGATATCCTGGTTCTTGCCCTGGCCCTGCCAATAGCTACACGTGTGAACTGGACTTCACTTCTCTGGAAGCCAATTTCCCACCGTAAATAAGAGATTGCTAAGTAATCTGTGAGATCCCCTTTTAGTTCTAGTACTCTATCAAAAAAGAAAAAGAAAGAAAAGTGGAGAGCGAGGGGGAAAAGAAGAAATGGAGGAAGGGAAAAGACTTGGGTTCTGTGTGTGTGTGCCAGCCTCTGGGTATTAGGCTGAAGAAAAGAGTAAGCTTCTCCAAGCATCTCAAAGGCACGGAGGAAATTTTCTACATGATGTGGGCCCTATGTGTGGGAAAGAACACCTAGGAGCGTGAGTACCGTCTGAGAGGAATACGTATGATTTCCTTCAGTTGAGATTCTTTGCAGAATTTGTCTTTCAAACCGCAGTGATGAGAGCTAGAAAAAAAATTGCAAGGTGTGGCTGGGGGAGTGCTGCATTTAAAACCACATCACCCTTACACATTCTTTCTTAAAGCATTTCTTGTTTTGTTTTTAAAATTTTTCATGGTGTCAAAGAAGGTGATAATAACCCCAGTATCACAATCGCTGGCACATTTGAGAAAGGGAACTAGAGTTTACTAAGCTCCATACTAGGCAGTTCATAGGAAAAACCTCATGTCAATTCCACAACAACTTTATCAGAAATGAAGGGGAAAATGAAGGTCAACCCAGACAAGCAGTTGGTCCATAGTTATAGCAGTCAGCCCAAACAACTGTCTCACTTCACACCTATGTTTTTCTTTTTCCTGCCTCCTGCAAGAATTCTCAATGAAAAAGATATTGCAAATACCTAAGTTGTTTGTATGAAATGCTTACATACTCCATGCTGACGAGTAAGTGGCACTCCTGTGTGGTGTGGTCCCTCTCTTAGGGTGTCATTTCCTCGGTCTACTTCAGATCATTCCACCGTTTGGTGAGGACGCAGTAGTTGCACAGCAGTTGGCCTGGATAAGCACCAGGGACACAAAGATAAATAATGCAACTGTCTGCCCTCAAGGAGAGCGAGGAGCTGTGCAGATAATGAATGCAGAAGCATTTTGTAAACGGAAGTGCTGGCCTTCTTGTTACTGCTATTAACGGTAGCAATTATTATTTTAACTTGTAGGACCAGCTCAGGTTTGATGCTCAATTTTCCTTGAAATATCTCTACTAGAATTATAGTTAGAGTGTTGAACAGTCCTGTGATGCAGTCTTTAGCATTTTGTCCACTTTAATCAAATGATTTAATGGTCCTTGCTATTACCATCAAAGGTAATTTCTTGCTGTTAACATCAAGCTCAGTACATTGGTGGTGATCTATAGTATACCAAAGGCTAATTAGCCACCCTGGGTTTCCCCTGTCTACCAGTGAAATAGCACAAAGGGCCAGTCTCTAAAGACAGAGGGACCGCACGCCCTCCCCCCTCCACACCAGCCTGTAAATGGGTTCACTCTCTTCTTCCACCGCTCCCTGTCCTCTCACATCTAGCACTCTGGGAAGACTCGATGCAACTCTGAAGCGTGTGTTATTTGTCCCACTAAAAAGTTACAGGTGCTGCAAAATAGTCTTCCCCCGTGTTGGTTTTTGGAGAAGCAATTACATTTGAAGCAGGTAGCTTTGGAAAGCTCGTTTATAGATTTTAGAAATATGTTTGATACTGATACTTTACAATCAATAAACATGCAAGAGAATATGAGAGAATCCAGGAAACTACTTTCCTGGTTGCAAATTAAATCACGTCTCTCTTTCTCTTCTAGGACAATCCGTTTTTTGATCTGCACTTCAAGAAAGTGTACAGTCTGGAAGCCTATAGTTGTGCTTCTAAATATGCCTTCGCTCGGACTGTGAATAAGCTGAATCACGCGTATCTCAAGAAGGACTTACAGATTGTGAACTTTGATTCTACATACATGAATGATGATTCCATTTGGTCCTCCAACAACAAGGACTGCTTGGTCCTTCTGAGAATATGCTTTTACGCCTTCAATCTTGTGTGCTTATCCCTCTGTCCTCTACCGCTTTGAAGATGTATGCCATATTTCTTCACTGGTTGTCTCCTGGGCAAGTGGTCCCCCAGGTGCATATCATTAGTGAAAATTTTGTTTTGTCACACACATCACCAGTGACTATTATTTATATGAAAATAAAGTGACGCTTTATGAATTACAATGAAATGTGTTTTAATGCAACCATTCAATATTTGGGATGTTTTGCCATTGTGTTTCTTGGCAAAGTTGGAAGGAAATGGATAGTTTTGACTAAATCAGTATTCTTCCAAAGAGTATCAAGAAGTGCTTTAAAAGATTTAGGCCGGCACCGTGGCTCACTAGGCTAATCCTCCGCCTTGCGGCGCCAGCACACCGGGTTCTAGTCCTGGTCGGGGTGCCGGATTCTGTTCCGGTTGTCCCCCTTCCAGACCAGCTCTCTGCTGTGGCCAGGGAGTGCAGTGGAGGATGGCCCAGGTGCTTGGGCCCTGCACCCCATGGGAGACCAGGAGAAACACCTGGTTCCTGCCATCAGATCAGCGCGGTGCGCCGGCCACAGTGCGCCGGCCGCGGCGGCCACTGGAGGGTGAACCAACGGCAAAGGAAGACCTTTCTCTCTGTCTCTCTCTCTCTCACTGTCCACTCTGCCTGGAAAAAAGAAAAAAAAAAGATATCAATAGTACTCAAAACAATCTGCACATTTGATGCAATTCCTATCATAATTCCAACAGCAGGAATTGAAGTTTATACTCAAAATTCAAGGGGCCCCAAATAGTCAAAGAATCTTGACAAATAAGTATAGAATATAAGTATTCACACTTCCTAATTTCAAAACTTACCACCACAAAGCTATGGTAATCAAAACAGTGTGATACAGGCCTAACAACAGACAGGGAGAATTGAACAGAATTGAACTGAGAGTTCAAAAATCCATGCACCTGTGGTCAACTGACTCTTTACGAGGGTATCAAATCTGTTCAAAAAAGTGACAATAATCTTGTCAACAGATGATGATGGGATTCATTGATTATCCACAGTCAGAAGAATAAATTGGACCCCTACTTACACCACAGACAAAAACTAACTCAAAATGAACCAGTGGGAGCCCACGCTGTGGCGCAATAGGTTAATCCTCCACCTGCAGCACCAGCATCCAATATGGGTGCCGGTTCTAGTCCCAGCTGCTCTTCTTCCGATCCAGCTCTCTGCTGTGGCTTGGGAAAGCAATAGAAGAAGGCCCAAGTCCTTAGGGCACCCATGTGGAAGACCTGGAAGAAGCTCTTGGCTCCTGGCTTTGGATTGGCTCAGCTCCAGCCATTGCGGCCATCTGGGGAGTGGCCATTGGAAGGCAGATCTTTCTCTCTGACTCTCCCTCTCACTGTCTGTAACTCTACCTCTCAAATAAAATGAATAAAATCTTTTTAAAAAATGAACCAATGACCTAAACGTAGAGATTAAAAATGTAAAACTCTTAGAATAATCATAGGGATAAACATTTAAGAACTAGAGTTTGGCAATGGATTCTCAACGGATTCTTATAGTATCAAAAGTATGAATAACAACAAAAATAAATTGAACTTTATAAAACTTGAAAACAAACATGCAGAATGAGAGAACATATTTGCAAACCATACATCTCAAAAGAGCTTAATATCCAGAAAATGTAAAGAACTCCTACAAATCAGTCACAAAAAGCCAAATAGCCCAAATAAAAATAGACAAAGGATTTGAATCAATGTTTCTGCAAAGGAGACAAATGAATGGCTGGTAAGTGCAAGGAAAAGATATTCAACATTATTAGTCATTAGGCAAATAGGAATTAAAACCATAAGGAAATACCACCTTACACCTACAGGATAACTATTATTAAAAAAAAAGGGCGGGGGTTGGTGTTTGGCTTAGCAGCTAACACCTGCCTCCTAAGTTGAAGTACCTGGGTTCAAGTACTGGCTCTGACTCCCAAGTTTAGCTTTCTGCTAATGTGCACCTTGGGAGGTAGCAAGTGATGGCTCAACTAGATGGCTCTGATAGATCTGGACTGAGTTCCCAACTGCCAACCTCAGCCTGGGCCTAGTCTTGGCTGTTGTGGGCATTTGGGAAGTGAATCAACAATGGGGGAGTGTTTCTTCTTTCTCTCTCTTCTCTCCTCCTCTGATTCTCTCCTCTCTCTCTCCCTTTCTTTCTCTCTTTCTCTCTCTTTTTACCTTCAAATAAAAAAATGTGGGGAATAACAAGTATTAGCAAGATAGCAAGGATGTGGAGACACTGAAACCCTAATATACTCTTGGTGGTAGAATAATGTGGCCCTGAGATTAACAGATGGGCATTTCTTCAAATAGCTACATCGAGATTACCAAATGACCCAGCAATTTCACTCATCAGCACAGAGTGAAGGGAATTCCAAGCAGGGACATGAACAGATATTTGCACACTAATGTCCATAGTAGGTTGGCATCCCGGGCTGGTTGCAGCCAGAAGATGGGAATGACAAAACTGTCTATCAACAATGAATAGATGAACAAAATGCAATATGGCTGTACAAGGAGATATTCAATCTTAAAACAGAATGAAGTTTTGATATATGCTGCAACGTGAATGAACCTTGAAAACCCAGTGCTGAGAGAAGTAAGCCTGACACAAAGGGATGTGTATCACATGACTCCACTTAGATGAGCTACCAAGAGTGGGAAAGTTCACAAACAGAGTAAAGATTAGCAGGGACTTGGAGAAGGGAAGAATAGAGAGTTATTGCTGTATAGTTATGAAGTGTTTCTTTTGGGTGATAAAAAGTTTTGGAAATGGCAATGTTTGCACAATATTGTGAATACAATTTATACCACCAAACTGTACATTTGATAATAGTTACAATAGAAAATTTAATGTTAAATGTATTTTATGACATTTTAAAAATAATGTAATAAGCCCAAAACTATTGAACTGTACACTTTAAATTGGTAAATTGTATGGTATGTAAACTATATCTCAATAAAACTGTTTAAAAGGAAAAACAGATTACCATATGTCTACCCAAAGAAAACATTGACAAGTTTTTTTTATAAAGTGAGAGCTAGCTGGCGCCGCAGCTCACTAGGCTAATCCTCCACCTTGAGGCGCCAGCACACCGGGTTCTAGTCCTGGTCAGGGCACCGGATTCTGTCCCGGTTGCCCCTCTTCCAGGCCAGCTCTCTGCTGTGGCCAGGGAGTGCAGTGGAGGATGGCCCAAGTGCTTGGGCCCTGCACCCCATGGGAGACCAGGATAAGTACCTGGCTCCTGCCATCGGATCAGTGCGGTGTGCCGGCCACGGCAGCCATTGGAGGGTGAACCAACAGCAAAGGAAGACCTTTCTCTCTGTCTCTCTCTCTCTCACTGTCCACTCTGCCTGTCAAAAAAAAAAAAAAAGTGAGAGTGGGGAAAGCTCTCCTAGCTGACGTTCAAAACCCAGACACAAAGGGGAAAAGATTAATTTAGCTACATAAAAACATGTACAAAAATGACAGGTAAAGTCAAATGACAAATGGAGAACTAGAAAAAAGCTTCCTAACATTTTTCATATATAACAGGCTCCTAGAATGAGGAGTAGAGAAAACCCTACAGCCCTATTGGCAAAACACAGACAGCTCATAGGAAAAGAATCCAAAGCCGTTTAAGCACAGGAAAAGATGCTCAACCTTGACTAAATAAGAGAAATGCAAATTAAATCCGTGGTGTGGTTCCATTTCTCACCTGTAAGATTATCAAAAACTCTGGAAATTTAGCAATACACCACTGGATATGTGAAATAGGTCCTCTCATTCTTCCCTGCTGAAAGGTGAAATGACACAAATTGCCTAAGAGAGGAATTTGAATGTATCTTGAAGATGTACATATACAGTTACTCTTGAACCAAGCAATTTAATTTTTTTTTTCTGGAACTTGATCCCAAAGAGAGTTTGGGAAAGAAACAAAACAACACATGCACAGGCACATAATATTGTTAACGAAAGCAAAGTTTTTAAAATACCCCCCATATCCATTCCTAGAGGATTAAGTGTATAAACTATGGCACACGTGCACAATACAGTACTGTGCAGCTACAAAAAAGCAGAGAACCGGGACGCTTCATGAATGCCCTGATCGGAGCCTGTGATTCTGGGCAAGCTGTAGTGAGCAAGCCAGAAGCAACATCCTATTCGATTGGTTAAAAATACCTACTTGGGGACAAGCATCATGGCATAGCAGGTTAGTCCACCACGTTCGACATCCCATATGGGTTCCAGTTTGAGTCCCTACTGCTCCACTTCCTATCCAGTTCCCTGCTAATGTGCCTGGGAAAGCAGCAGAAGATGACCCAAGTGCTTGGGCCCCTGCACCCGTGTGGGAGACCCAGATGAAGCTCCTGGCTCCTGACTTTGGCCTGCCCCAGCCCTGGCTGTTGTAGCCATTTGGGGAGTGAACCACTTGATGGAAAATCTCTCTTTCTCTCTCTCTTTGTTTGTCTATCCGTCTCTTCCTCTCTCTGTGTTACTCTAATGTTTCAATCAAATAAAATAAAACTTTTTATAAATATCTATTCGGCTTCCTCTGGTTGGTCCTAAGTTGGAAAAGATGCCAAAATCAGGACATCTGTGAATTATGAATCAAGTCCTAGCCATTTTGGACCCATCAATCCAGAAGTTTTTGTTTGACTTTCTGCACTGGTAGCTACAGATAGTTTGGCTTCATGGCCTGGCTACTACACATAGGTTGGCTTCCTTGGCTGCTGGTTGCGGGTTGTGGGTCACAGTTCTATTTTTGTGTATGATTTCACCATTGTATATTTGTATATTCAGAAATATCTTGCTTGTGGTAGAGGTTACATGATTCTACACACTTCCATCAAACCTGAAATCATATTCAGAAGGATAGCTGTATGGGGTAGTGCTGTGGCACAGTAGGTTAATCCTCCATCTGTGGCACCGGCATCCCCTATGGGCAATGGGGTAGTGTAAATGATGATAGGCTAGAGAAAGCTTATATGTCCTATGCCAAGTCTTGCATTAAATTCTCCAACTCATATAAAACCGTCTATATCATTTATGTGTTTGCTTCTTGGGGTAAAAGTTCCAACTGTGCTTAACAAGAGGAATTACTTAGAGTAATGTCTTTAAAACGAAAATGAAGATAGTATCCTATACCTCTTCGGATTATATACAGAGGCACTCAACATACGTTTTTTAAAGAATCCTTTTTAATTAAAAATTTTTTTTAAGATTTATTTACTTGAAAGGCA